GGGAGATGGCTCAGTGGAATAAGCGCTTCCCTGGCAAGCGCAAGGGCCTGAGTTCAATCCCCGGTTCCGCAAAAAAAAAAAAAAAAAGAAAAGAAATAACCCAACAACAAATGTTGGGAGAGGCTATGGGGAAAAAGGAACCCTTTTCCACTGCTGGTGGGAATGTAGACTGGTGCAACCATTATGGAAATCAGTGTGGAGACTCCTCAGAAAAGTTGGACTAGAAATCCCATTTAAACCAGCTATTCCTTTACTGGGAATTTTCCCAGAGGATCTGAAAACATCATATCATAGGGATATATGTGTGCCTATGTTTATAGCAGCACAATTTGTGATAGCCAAATCCTGGAAACAATGAAGATGCGCATCACCCAAGGAATGCTTGAAAAAGATGTGGTATTTTTACGCAATGGAGTATTATTCAGCTATAAAGAATGATAAACTCAAAGCCTTTACATTGAAGTGGATTCCACTTGAACATATAGTCATAAGTGAAATAAACCAGACACACATGTGTAAATATCATGTAGTTTCCCTAGTATAAGAACTCAAAAGAAGAAATACAAATACAAAAGTATAATACAAGTTAAAGGAAAGCAGGAACTCGAGGACTAACTACTTAAGAGAGGGAAAGGAGAAGAGCTAGGAAACATGACAGTTATAAGCCATACAGTTATAAGTAGAAGATGGGCAAGACAATTATCCTGAGGATCTCCAGAAGATTTTTGAATCTAGCAATTAACTGGAAAGACTCTCACCCTGACTAACTACATATACTGATACCTATGAACTAAGCAACTACACTGAAGATGGTAATCTGTAATAGTAGTTTCATACTTGGAGTGCCTGACATTCTGGTCTTCTGAATACGGGCTGCTTGTCACAACATGGCAGTTGCTGCTGTGCTGTCTTTTGGGTAGATGACTGTTCAAAAAGAAGTGGATGGCGAATGAAGGCTAGAGACAGGAAAAGGAATGTTGTGGGACTGCTTCAAGGTTGCATATGGTTAGATTTTGGACTTACGTGTAAACATAAGAATTATATAATTCTTTATGCCTATTTTTAAAAATATATTCTAATTTTTAAATGTTTTTTCACCATATTCTGTAGGGACTTAAAGTTCAACATATCAATACTTGATGAAAAATACCTGTTCCATGTTATGCCTATGATGTTTGATATTCAGACAGAT